AGGCATTCCAGGTCACCCTGAAGGAAATGACTGATACAGCACCTGAGAACATACTTCTTCCAACACCATGAAACGTCAGGACTTCAAAACTGCCATGAATGATATGTCCTACAAACAGCCAGATAATTAAGAAACCAGCTTATGAGAGAGAAATTTGGTCGTGTTAAATATACAATCTCAATTTTAAAATCAGTTTTACATAAACGTACTCATCTACGGTCTACGCAAAGAGAAAACAAAACTACACGATTTCCCGATATTACGGAGATTCCCAAGGAGACGCTCAAGTGGGTAAATTTCAAAAACCTGGAGCCAACTGCGGAGCGAACGATAGGTTTCCCTCCAACAGCTGAGAATGCGGTGCATCCTTCCTTTCCATTAGACACAGCTGCCCATTTAACTTTTCCCTACAGGTCTGGAAGTTCTGAGCAAAGAATACCACTTCTGACAACTAGTTACCCTAGTAGAATTCCCTAAGTGAGAAACGGGGTACCCGCCAGCTCTAGTTCTCGCCAGCCTAGTGAGAGGGGCGCTGGGTTGAGCCCAGGGCGCAGGCGGCGATCAGCGTCGAGCCGAAGCTCTCGGGCTCCGGCGCCCACCCTTCCGCGCCCCTCCTCCGCAAGAAACACCCCCTCCCGCATCCGCATCCTCTCCCACGCGGAGTCGTGATTTCCCTGCCGCTCCATCTCCCGAGGAGATGCTAGTCCAGCTTATTGAAGGAGTCCCTACCGGCTCACCTGGGAAAAGGTAGGGGTGCGGGTCTGGATTTGGAGTTCTGGGTGGGGGCCAGAAGACGACGTCGGGGGAGTGAAGGGCAGGCAGGGGCGCTCCTGCAGGTAGGGACCTGGGGAAGGGATGCGGGGGTTCGGGACAGGAGAGAGGAGGGCGTCGGGAGGTCGGAAGAGGCCTCCGGAAGGATGGGGGGCAGGTGTGGGACGCTCCCGCGGGCGGATAACTTACGGAGGTGGGAGGTTTGGGGGCCTCACCTCACCTGCCTAGCGCTCGCTTCATGCCCGCGTCGGCGGCGCAGCGCGGCTCAGCCGACCCCTTGCCCGCCAAGCGCAAGTTGCGCTTCAGGCGGCAGTCGGCGTCCAGCACCGCGGCGGTCAAGCCGGAGGAAGACGAGCCCAAGGCGACGCAGCGCTCATGCTCCAAGGCGACTGGCTCGGTCCGCTTCCTCATCCCGCGGACGGCCGGCCACCGAAAGCGCCCGCTGGCCTTGTCCGCGCCGCCCTCGCAGCAGTCGCCGCCGCTCACAGTAGACGCCGCCGCCGGGAGCCCGCCGCCTCTCACATTCCAGCCCCAGGCCGTGGCTGCCGGCTACAGACCCGCGCGAGCCAATCAGCGCCCGGTTCCCGCCGGCCCCGCCCCGGCCCCCCTCCTCCCGGGCTCTGCGGGCAGCGCACCCAGAGGCCTCAGCGCCGGCCGGAAGCCATCTTGGAGAAGGGCGGATGTAACAGCGCGGTGCATCAGCGCCCGGGCGCGGGTTGGAGGCTGACTCGCCGCGCTGGGGTCTGGGCTGGATCCCATGCGTGGGGACATCCTTTGCTTGAGTACTCGGCGTCGTCCCGCAGGTCCGTGGCCTGAACCCGAGAGGACGCGGGCCTGAAAGCAGGCACCCACCCAGTCGTAGCCGCAGCGGCAAGTTAGCTCCCCCCGCTCCCACTCCAGGCTTCCTGATTTTCCCCTGAGGCTGGAAACCCAATCTGGATCGTTCCCTGGAAATGTCCTTGTAAAGGTTTATAAGAAAAAGAAAAAGGTATCGCAGTTCTTCTCTAATGATTTATAGTTATTCTCCCACCAGGACTTTACTTTAAAGAGAATGCTTTCAGGTAGTTTTTTATAATTTGAAACAAATGTATAGATATTTAATTTTTGCTTTTGGGCTGAAACAGTTTACTTGTTAGAACCTGCCATTAGATTTTATATTTGTATAAGGCCATTCGAACTAGCTGATGGGGGGGAAATCTTATTTCAAAGTTAAATTCCCACTTGTGAAACACAAATTAAGTACTAATTCAACCCATCCTAGAAAGAGAAAAGAGGAGCAGTGTCACAAATTTAGTTTTATAGTTCTTGCTTTCTTTAACATGGTATTATTATTTTACAAATGATCTACAACCAAGGGATTTGCTTACTTCAAAGTAACTTTTGGAATTTCAGCATTTGTGTCAGTGAAAACTGTTGGCAATTGATAATTCAAGATCAAGTAGTAAAAAAAAAATCAATTAGAAATGCCTTAAGAAATTCAGTAGCTCCTATTAGCTTTGTAGTGATGTTTAGAAATTGCAAAACAATTTCAATGGCCGTATTACCAAATACCACAACCAGCATTCATATCTGTCCAAACATACTTTTGGAACTTAAATGGTGAAGTCTTTAAAGTGATGTTTCAACACATACTGGAGATTGGGAATCCGGCAACTAAACTGTAAATCATTTCTTTTACTTTAATACTCATTGAACCCTTTTTAATGATAAAAACAAAAAAGCTAGGAAGGTAGGTTTGGAGAGAAGAGAGTAAGGGGGATTGTGTCCTTGCTGGTCCTAGGCCTTGCTCATACAGTCCTCAACTCTTGGTCCACACTCACTTTCTGAGCTGTCTTATCCAGGCTTTAAATACCAACCCACATTGGTGACACCTACATTTGTATTTCTTGTCTGTAACCTACAGGCACCTAAAATTATGTTCAAAGCTGAGATCCCAACCCTTCTCCCACCCCCAGCTCCGTCCACAAGCTTCCCCACCTCAGATGGGGATGGCAAGGCCCTCATTGCAGTTCCTCAGGTTAAACCTTGGGGTCATCCTTGACAACTCCCTTCTTTTGCCAAAGCAGGTCTATCACCAAACCTTGTCAGATCTCCCTTCAAAATCTGTCTGGGATCCACCCACTTCTCACCACCTGGACCAAGCTGCCATCATCTCTCACTTGGATTATTTTAATAGCCTAAGTGGTCTGCCTCCACCTTTGCCCCACTTCTGTCTATTTAACTCAGCTGCCACAAACGTCTTTTTAAAAACCTAGGTCCAGTCCTGTCACTTATTCGCTCAAAACACTTAAATGGCTCCCTATCTCACTGAAAATAAAACCAAACACTTATGAAAGGGCCTCTAGCCCTGGATCTGGTCTCAGCCACCAGTGTCTCTGTTGCTCACTCTGTTCCAGTATCACTGCTTCCCTGCTAATACAGAAGCCCCAAGGAGGGGTGTGAGTGGCATGTGTGCCAGCCACAACCCAACTCTCCTCAGGGCCTTTGCAGTGCATTCTTGCTGCCTGGAATTTTCTGCCCTCCCAATGGCTTACTACCTCCCCACTTCAGGTCTGTACCTTCTCTGAACACTAACTCAGAACCTTCAAGCCCTCTCACCATCACTGTTTGCCTTCCTTGGCTTATTTTTAAGCTTTTTCTTTTTTTAAAAAGCTTTTCACTAACATGTTTATCAACGTATTTGTATTTGTGTATTGCTGTTTTCCCACACTAGAACGTAGGCTGAAAGCAAAGACTTTGTTCATTGCTTTATCTTCGGTGTCTAGAACAATGTCTAGTACATAGTAGATACTTCATAAATATTTGATGGAGTAAAGAATCATCACAGCCCCTCAGAAGTGGATAATATTGTTCCCACCGTATGTACAGGTAAGGAAGCGTGAATCTCAGGCCTGAGGTTCAAAATTAAAAAGGTTTATGGCAAAGGAAAGCTGTGGATACTATTGATCTTTGGATCACAATCCTGTAGCATGGTCCACTATAGAACTGTGTATTTACTAAAAACAGTCAAATTATCCCTTACTGTAGAGCTGAAAAGGAAATGGCGTTCAGTGTAAGGAGGCTCACTTTTCAGATCACACATCCACTGTACATTTATTTGCAAAAGAGGAACGTAGTTTCTCAGGATAGCTACAATGAATTTAAGTAATATTGCTCTTTAAAAAATATTGCTTTAAAAAAAAATAGCCAAGCCCAGCCGGGCGTGGCTCAGCGGTTGAGCGTCGAACTGGGATCCAGGTGATCGGGGTTCGATTCCCGATCAGGGCACATGCCCCGGGTTGCGGGCTCGATCAGTGACTCTCATCATTGATGTTTCTATCTCTCTTTCTCCCTCTCCTTTCCTCTCTCTGAAATCAATAAAGATATATTTAAAATAATAATAATAATAGAACTGGGTGAAATGAAAAGGGTTAACAAGAAAAAAAAAAAGCCAAAAAAAGAATTTTTTATAGCAGTAATTCTTACCTTTGATTCTATGTGGTTATGAAAATTCCCATAATCGTGTAAACAAGAACATCACTACGTGAATTGATGTTAATCTATGGTATGTTTCCCTCTCTGTACCCCTTGTGACTAGAACCATTTTACAGATGTTTTTAAATGACTGCTTTAACACCAAAGGTAATACTGTGGAGGTGAAAGCTTAAATATAGGGCCTATGTGACCTTAGGCTAGTTATCTAATTTCTGTTCCCTAATCATTACCAAGAGTCTTAAAAAAAACTATCTTAGGGCTGCTTAATCCTGAGAACTAAATGAAATATATATCATAGCCCCTACCACAGAGGAGAGGCCCAATAAAAGTGGTTTCCCTTCTCTGTGAAGCAAAACACGCACGCTGCAAAACTAAACAAACGACGCTGCATCATGACATTAATGCACACCAAGTTTCTGAGTCTGCCTTCTTAACCTCAAAGTGCGCACCTCTCTGAAACTAAAGGAAAACGAATGAATCAAATGGAAAGGAAGCTGACGAACGTGCATGTACGTGGAGCTGTGCTGCCCTTAAAGTTTCTTCCTTAGCTGCCTGGGAATTCGAAAACGAATCGGCCCAGATTGCCCGCTGGGGCGGAGGCCCGCCCACTCTTCCCTAGTTGCCGGGGAAGGACGCCCGCCCCACGCTTTTTGTAATGCGCCTGCGCAGTGGAGGAAACTGTCCTTTTACCGCCGCCGTAGGCCAGGAGGCCCAGCAGCCTGTTCCTATTGGCTGTGCGTGTTTGGCGCCAAAGCGAAGAGCAGAGTCGCAGGCCAGGATCGGGAGCTGTGGGTCCCGGAATTACCGGAGCCCCGAATTGCGGCTGTGAGCCGGCCGACAGTGGTTTGGCGTAAGAGCGGGCAGTTGACGAGGCCACGGGACTGGGACGCCTGCGCCATGTTCTGCGATAGGGCCATGGAGCTGGTCCGCGAGCTGCACCGCGCGCCGGAAGGGCAGCTGCTGGCCTTCAATGTGAGGGGGGACCGGGTGGGCGGGATGGCCGCGTCGGGTCCGGCCTGAGGGCAGGGCGTAGCGGCGCCCTCCCGATTTTCCCTTCAGCCTCCCCTGCAGGGTTTACTTTGTCATCGGGTGAACTCCGAAGCCCGGCTCAAAAATTTTGCAGCATGGCTAGAGTATAGGAGCAAAGCGAAAGCTTTCGTGCTTATGTCACGCAGAAATTTGGTGCATTTCTTTGTACGAGCATATTTTCTTTAGTGTTTTTTCATCTCTTAAGTGGGTTACTGTTCCTTTGCTTAACCAAACATTTATTGGTGGCCTAATAATCTAGCATTTGTTGTGCACGCAGGCAAAAGCTAGGCCTCGAGTCCGGCTGAGATTCTGGCTCTGTCGTGTGATTTTGGGTCAGTTGCTCAAACTTTCTGTGTGCTCAGTTTTCTCTTCTGCAAAAAGTGGGGACGATGATGATAATGGTACTCAATTCTTGGTATAGAGAGGGCTCAGTGAGATGGTATAGGTCAGGTTCTCTGAACAAGGATTGACACCGTAATGACTGAGTCAATCTTTTTACCACTGCTGCTGCTACTAATTGTTACGATTTTTTCTTTTTTTTAATTTTTTCTTGCTACTACCCCAGGAAGGGTGCAAAACACTTGACCTACATTATCTCTTGTCCTCATAATAATCCTATGAGGTTTAAACTTGTTTTCCATTCTTTCCAGCTATGTGGAGATTTGAGATTACCTGCCAGTGGTGACAGAAGTAAAGCTAAGGATTTGAACCCTCGCAGTCTGGCTTCAGACCTGCACTCTAAATTCTATACAGGACTACATTTTCTGTCTTAAGGCAGCCACTGTGTGGATGCCAGGACTCGTTCTGCTGGGAGAGGGGCATGAAACAGGTCATACAATGCAACTTGTCAAGTTATATTAAAAAAGGTGTGGAAGAGGAACACGAAGGAGAAACTCCAGTGTGAGCTGGGGTGGAGGAGGCTTTTGAGCCATGCCTAGGATGAGATCACTCTGAGAAGGGTGTGAGGAATCCCCAGCCAAAGGAGGTAGCAGACAGCAGAGACAAGTGGTCACATAGGAAGGGTGACTGACAGTGTGTGCGGAGACTACAAAGGTGGATTCTAGGTCTAAGAAAGTTTGGTATTCACTCACGGCATTTGGACGCCGCTGAAGGATTTTAGATAGGGGAGTGATTGGGTAATTTGGGGATTCTGAGGATATCTGTGGCAGCACTATGGGGAATGGATTGGACATAAAAAAGAATGGAGGCAGAGAGATGGTTATGGGTGGTTATAATGGATAAGGTGAGAGATCTGTATGGTTCAAACTGTCCAGTCAGTGGGCCCCGAAATCAGTAGTTGGGTTTTAGTGACTTGAGATAAACAAGACTTGTAGCTATTAGAATGGGTGGAGATGGGATAGTTAACAAATGAGGGGGAGGAATCAGGATCTCAAAAGGCTTCTCCCTCTGGTAGCTGATTAAACAATGTAGTTCAGGGGGAAGAGTGTTTTGGAGAAGGTGAGTTTTGTTTTGAACTTTAAAGATCATCTACTCTGAAAATTAGGTCATTTTACAGATGTAACCACCAAGAGAAATTCTGGATCAAGTTAAGGGAATTGTCTGAACTTACAGCATGTTGGAGGCAGAGCCTCACTTTGAACAAAGGTTTTCTAGATGTCACTTCAGGACATTGACCTCCTTAAAAAAGTTAGGAGACAATAGTGGGAAGTTCAGTAGAGATGGTGGATTGCAAAGGTGTGCAAATAAGTGTTGCTTTACTACTTTGGGGGAGCGGGACTTAGAAGTTGTAAAATCATTCTCTTCTGTGTCTTAGTTTGGTGGAGAACCTTTTGCACCTTTTGAAGGATTCATGCCTTCCACTGACAAACCCACCTTTTTCAGGTTACTCAGCAGCCTGGAATGCTCAGCCTGCTGAAGCTGGTCACTTGTGACACAGCTAAGCAGAGGCAGACTGAAAATTGGTCTGATTGATCTGAGGGCCCATGACTTTCAAGAATCATTCTTTTAAGTGAGATGATAGTGGATTTAGAGCAGAGACTGTGTCTTGTTCATTCCAGCATCCTTCATGGTTAGGTGCTATGTTTAGCAAATTGAAATGATTACCCACTTTCTTTTTATTTATTTACTTACTTATTATTTTTTATTGATTTTAGAGAGACAGGAAGAGAAACATTGATGTGAGAGAAATGTTGATTGCCTGCCTCCTACACACCCCCTAACCTAGACATGTGCCCTGATGAATCGAACCAGGCCACCTTTTGGTGCATGCGATGATACTCAACCAACTGAGCCACACCAGTCAGGGCTATTAATTTTTTTTGATTGATCTTAGGAAGGGAGGGACAAAGATAGAAAGAGAGAGAAAGTAAAAGAAAGATCAATATGAGAGAAATATAGATTGGTTGCTTTCCACACGACTGGAGATCCAACCTGCAACCTGGGTATGTACCCTGACTGGGAATCAAACCCGCCACCTTTTGGTGTACAGGACAGTGCTCCAACCAACTGAGCCATAGTGGTCAGGGCTGATTACCCACTTTCTATATACAGAACTGGAAATAGTTTGAGTATTTAGGGAAATTATCTTGGGCTCCTAGGGGCTTATAGCCTGAGGTGGGGGCACAAAACTGATTCAGTTCCCATTATATATCTAATCTGAAGGCTTGTGTATTTTTACAAAATTATTTTACAGTTGTCTTTTGTATACCTATAGATCTATTGTACAAGAGTTTTGACTATTCCTTAAAATAATATTTACTGATTGAAAGTATACTTAACTGAATTCTAATAAATCAGACTTTTTCATGATCTCTTTTTAACCAGCTGATGAAGGGGAAGGTAGAAGTATTACATTTTTCATCAAGAATTACATCTTTTTCTATATTTGAGCAGAGTTAAATAGTTGATTTGTAATTTTACCAGTAGTGCCAAAGCATTTTTGCTAATGCATATATTTTGGCCCTAACAGTAGAATGGCAAAGTATAGGGTGTCACAAAAACATACATACACACTTTAACAGCTGATAGCTCTAGATTCTATTACATTTTGAAAATGAAATGTATTTTAATATACTGCCTTTGTAATGTGTATACATTTTTTTGGGATACCCTGTAGATGGGTCACTTACTCTTTTTAAGTATGTTTTTATTGATTTCAGAGAAAGGAAGGGAGAGAGAGAAACATCAGTGATGAGAGAGTCTTTGGTCGGCTGCCTCCTGCACACCCCTCACTGGGGATGGACCCTGCAACCTGAGCATCTGCCCTGCCTGGGAATTGAACCCTGACCTCCTGGTTCATGGGTCTACACTCAACCACTGAGCCACACTGGTGCGCAGAACATATGTTTTTAATTCTCTTGAATATATTCCTACGAGTGGAATTGCTGGATAATGTAATATGTTTATCTGTTTGAGGAACCATTAGACTGTTTTCCAGAGGTTTCTCATTTCTCCCCATCCTCACCAACACTTATTTTTATAGCCATCATAGTAGGCATGAAAGGGCTATTGCTCTTTGATAAGATATGTAAATCAGAGATAAACATAGTATAAATAGAATATTGCTACAGAATTGGGGTAATTAATGCATGCGGATCAATATCTTTTTGTATCTTCTAGGAGGATGGACTCAGGCAAGTTCTGGAGGAGATGAAAGCTTTATATGAACAAAACCAGTCTGATGTGTAAGTTTTGATAAAATTCATATTTTAAAACAAATTAAGAAATGTGACATTGAAATCAGATAATCTTACATCAGTTTTTAGATGTGAATTTTCTTTTTAATTCTCCGTGAGTCTGATTATACCCTAGGTATACGGGACTAAAGGATTTGTGTTGATCATGGCTATATCTATGGGGATTCAGGTAGTGCTTGGCATATGGTAGATGCTCAATACATGTTTATTATTTGACTGATACAACTTGAAAGATTTTAAGGTAGACCTAAAAGAGTTGAGACATGACCAAATAAAAACCCTAACAAAGTGAAATGTATAGTTTCCACTGCTTGTTTTCATTTATAGATACCTTAGTGCATTGATGAGAGAATGGGCAATTTGTAAACTTAGCTGAAGCAGTAGTGATTTCCAGTAGTTTGAGTGAAGTTCACTGAGAACAAGTACTATAGAAGACTGCAGGCGGGAGGTAAGAGGGCTCTAGATTATAGAATATTTAGAGCTAAGTATTTGGACTCTGTAACAAACTTCATTAGGTCCCTGTGATTTGGTGAAGAGTAAGACACAAAAGAGTTGTAAAGACACCAACTTATAGATCATAGGTGAGGTATTCAGATCTCAACCTAGAGAGAAGTTATGTGTGATATTAGGTTTCATCTTTGGCCTTGCTAGGTACAATTTTTTATCAGTTACTTGGATATACAAATCAGTAGCATGCTAATAAATTGGTGGAGCCTACAGAACAATAGGAACATTTTCAGCTACAGTGTTTTTTTTGGGGGGGGGGGTGCTTAATTCACTTTATTTTTCTGATATGAAATTACGTGGTGGCCACAGCTGGAGCCTGGGTCCTTTGCACAGAAACTCTGGTGTGGGTCTTTACAAGCTGGTCAGTGAATTCCTGATAGGGAGACTTGGTGAAAACAGTCTTTTCCCAGAGATCTGGGGTGAGATAGCTTTAGGTCTTAGAGATGGCATCAAAAGTGGCCTTGGCAAAGTTGCCCAGGGTAGCAGTGCAGCCCCTGGCCAAAGTATAGCAGTCATGGATACGGGCCATCAGCAGCAGCTTCTTGGGATCGGGGGCTGTGAGGATGCCAGTGCCCCTGGGGGCAGGAATGAGGCGCACCAGTACAGAGCCACAGTGGCCAGTCACCTTGCAAGGGATGATGTGGGGCTTGCCAATCTTATTCCCCCAGTAGCCTCGCTGCACAGGGACAATAGAGAGCTTGTCCAGGATGATGGTCCCACAATGGCAGTGGCTACTTCCTTTGAGCACTTAATCCCCAGACCAACATGTCCATTGTAGTCCCCAAAGGGGACAAATGCCTTGAACTGAGTCCTCTGGCCAGCTGGTGTCTGCTTTTACATGGGCATAATCTTCAAAACATCATCCTTGAGGGATGCCCCCAAGAAAGTCAATGATCTCAGATTCCTTGATGGGCAAGGAGAAGAGATAAATGTCCTCCAGGGACTTGATTTTCATGTCCTTAACCAAGAGGCCCAGCTTGGTGACAGGGATCCACTCCTTATCCTTGGCCTTGCCTCTGTGAGCTCGGTGGCCTCAGCCCCGGCCCTGGCCCCGGCTGCAACCTTGGCCGCAGATGCTGCTGCCAAATCCTCCATGGAAGCCACCATGGCCTCTGATTCCAGGGCCCCCGGGGCCTCCTGGCCCTGCTGCAGCACCGCCGTTATCTGCCATTTGGTGTTTCCTCGGGAAAGAAGCTCAGCTACAGTGTTTAAAGATGGATATAAAGAAATTTTTATAGCTGGAATGAAGAACTAAATCACAAGAGATTTGCAGTAAGTGTAAAGTCCTAAACTCAAGTTCCTGAGCCATTCATTCATTCAAATATGTACTAAACAATTTTGTGCTGATAAATTGCTCTGGTATTTCAATTGTAAATACAGTAGTCAAGATTTCTGTCACTATGGCCCTCATAGTCTAATGCCGAAGACAGGCCAAATTGTAATACATGCTTTGAAGGAACACAACAGTGCTAGGAGAGAGAAGAATGAAGATATAATCAGATTGAGGAATCAGGGAATTTCTCTCCAAGGAAGAGACATTTCAGCTGAGGCCTGAAAGAGAAGCAGATTTTTAGTGAGGTGTAGTAATTGTGGGCAGAGAGCATTCCAGGTGGAGGGAACAGCATATGCAAAGTCCCCGACTCATGAAAGGGTGAGATGCTCAGGAAACATACTTAAAGAAGGCCAGTGTGGCTGAAAGTTAGTAAGCAGGCAAAGCATGACATCAAGTAAGACAATGTGTGGAGCAGGTGGTAGCATGTTTGTGTTTTAAAAGATCACACTGGCTGTTGTGTGGACAGTGGATGGGGGAGCTGAGAGGAGAGGGAGAGCATGCTGGTCATCCAGGTGACAGGGGAGGTGACTCAAACTACGTCTAAGTGAACAGGTTAAAGACACGTTTGGGAGGTGGCCTAACAGACCTTAGTCCAGTAAGGGAATGATTTTCCCGTATTCCCTGTATTTGTACCATTTGCAAATTCATAATCCAAAATTCTGTTCCCTGTCCTCCTAGCTTCTTTCTAGGGGGACAATCACTATTACCAGTTTCTGGTTAAAATTATTTGTCAAAGGGAATCTTTTTTTTTTTTAACGTATCTTTATTGATTTCAGAGCGAGGAAAGGAGAGGGAGAGAGAGAGAGAGAAACACCAACGATTAGAGGGTCGTCATTGATCAGCTGCTTTCTGCACACCCCTGACTGGGGATCGAGCCTGCGACCCAGGCATGCTCCCTGAATGGGAGTCGAACCACGATCTCCTGGATCTTAGGTGGATGCTCAACCACTGAGCCATGCATGGCCTGCAAAAGGAATCTGATTCTTTTAACTTACTCATGTGAATGTGAATTTTTTAGCAAGTCCTTATATACTCCATAAAGTACTCTGATGTTAAGTGTATTTTACTTGTACTATTACTTTATAATCCAGAGCACATTATAAACAATGTGGAGAATAAATCTGATTTTCACAGAGTAGCAGAAGTGTGTAGAACGGATCTAGAAGACATGATTAGGTGGCACATATATTTTGCCTGTTTTTAGGGCCTGCAGCATACAGTGCATGAAGGAATCTTTTTTTATATTCATCTGGTTCCTTTTAAAACTCCAAAGTCAATTCTTATTCTTTCTGTGCATCTGGCTTTGTTTTGTTTGTTTCCAATTTTTTAAATTGTGGTAAAATATACATAACAAAATTTGTCATCTTAACCATTTTTAAATGTACAGTTCAAAAATATTAAATACATTGATAATGTTGTGCAACTGTCACCACCATCCGTCTTCATAACTCTTTTATCTTATAATACTGAAATTCTATACCCATTAAACAATTGTACGTCTGGTTTTAAAATGTTGTACTTGTCTAATATCTAAGGAGATGTACATTTTGTAGGGTAGAACCAAAATTTTCTTTCTCTCTGTGTGAAGAACATTGACGTGTAGTACATGCACATAGTTGAAGATCAACAGATATTTGTTGGATGGGTGAAGGACCATTTTGACTCCCATTGCGTTCACTTTATTAGAACAAGGAGTACTACATATAATAAAAACATAATATAGGATCATAATCTTATGAACCATGACGTTAGGTTTGTCTCTTATCCTTGCAAGATAAAGGAATTCCAGTGTTTGTCTTTTGGAAATAATGGAGATTAATCAGTGTACAAAAGTGCAAAGTACTAAATGGTTAAATGCTGATAGTATGATCTTATCAAATTATTTGGCTTTTGGCTTTTTTATCTTTTAATGTACTAACAAAAGCTCTGACGTAGAGGCAGGTACTGCTTAGGTTAACTGCTAATAATAATAAAAAGCATGTCAGTTGTTAGTTGGCTTTGAAAATTTTATTTATACTGAAATAGACGTATTTGTTCTTTTCCTATTTAAATGTTGCTAGGAATGAAGCGAAGTCAGGTGGACGGAGTGATTTGATACCAACCATCAAGTTTCGACACTGTTCTTTGCTAAGAAACCGACGCTGCACTGTAGCGTACTTGTAAGCCTTTCCGTTTTTCTTGGGGATGCTAGGGAATAATGGAGCATTTCCCATGTGATTTCCTATTTAACATTTCAAATGGAAAACAAATTCTTAGATTTGTTTCTCTCCTTATAAACATTCTAAATTCTTTTCCTCCATTTTAAAACTTATTATGAAAAATTGGCAATATTCATAAAAGTAGGGAGAATAATGTTATGAACCCCCATGGAGCCATCATACACGTTTAACAATTTTTTAACGTTTTGTCAATCCATATTCATATTTTCTGCATTGTCCCAGAGATGACTTCTTACAGTTGGTTTATTCATCTCAGGAGCCAAATAAAGTCCACATAGTACTTTTAGGTTAGTGTGAGTCTTGAGTCTCCTGATCAAAACAACTCTGATAAGCCTTTTGTTAAGTCATCTAATACCTTCTTACTGTCCTAGGTATGACCGATTGCTTCGAATTAGAGCACTCAGGTGGGAATATGGCAGTGTTCTGCCAAATGTTTTACGATTTCACATGTCTGCTGAAGAAGTAAGTTAGCACTGTTATTTAAATTTATGAAGTTGGAAAATGCTGAGGTTCTGGCATTGCTCTATAATAGTATTTATTAGTATTTCTTTTTGTTTTTTGTTTAACATTTTAATTATGTAATATTTGGAGTCTAGATTTGGGAAATCAATGACAAAAATAATTATCAAAGAAATATTTTGTAGCATTAGTATATAAACATAAGTCATAAGTGTCTAAAGACAAAAATGATTAAAGTTGTAGTTATACAGATAATCAGAAATAACATTTAAATTAATCGCAGAAGTAACAATGAATATTATAACTTTTTCAGAAATAAGATATTTTAGTCAAAAAGTGAATCAAAAAATCAACACAAAACCACAAAGATTTAGGAGCCTCTCTATGAGATAAGAAAGGTCTGTTCTCTGTAAAAGCCACCAACGAAGAAGAAAATATTTTTTTCTTTGCATTTTTAAAGAGTAGACTGAATATTCAAAGACCATTTTCCCCTGAGGTGTTAGTTTTTTCTCTTTATTATTCATAAGGTTTTCAGTTTCACAATTCTAGTATAACTTTATATGTAAGTTTAAACATACACAAATGCATATAAACGAGATGAAAATTTTAAAGCTTAAATTTTAGTCTTTATTATGTATTAACTGTCATTTATATAAAACTATGAATGTAGTGCATATTTATCATAATTGGAGCTTTACAAAGATCAAATATGTACTACTTATTTTGCATAGCTTTTGTAATTTCTCGCTTCAAATTTTTAATCTCTTAGAAAGTGTCTAGCTAGCCAAAGATTTCAGATAGCCAAAGCTTATCCATACATTAATTTAGTATTAGTCCAAGCTGTAAGGATTTTGGAAATTATATTTTTAAATCATTTTTCATTTTTCAATTAGTTACACTTGACATACAGTATTATGTTAGTTTCAAGTGTGTACCCCAGTGATTAGACATCATATAACGTACTAGTGTTCATCCTGATATATTTCGTACCCATCTGACACCATTCATTGTTATTAGATTATTGACTGTATCCCCTTTGCTGTACTTTACATTCCTGTGACTATTCTGTAACTAACAATTTGTACTTCTTAATCCCTTCACCTTTTTCACCAAACCCCCCAGCCTCCCTTTGGCCAACCATCAAAATATTCTCTTTCTCTGAGTCTGTTTCTGTTCTGCTTATTTATTTTGCTTTTTTAGATTCATTTGTTCAAGGATATGTATGTATTGCCATTTTAGTCTTCATATTTTTAGTCTTTTTTTCCTTCTTAAATAACGCCCTTTAAATATTTCACATAATACTGGTTTGGTGGTGGTGAATTCCTTTAGTTTTTTTTGGTCTGGGAAGCTTCAATTCTGTGTCCTTTGATTCTAAATGATACCTTTGCCAGGTATAGTAATATTGTAGTTCCTTACTTTATATCACTTTGAATATTTCTTGCCAGTCTCTTCTGGCCTGCCAAGTTTCTGTTGAGAAATCAGCTGAGAGTCTTATGGGAACTTCTCCTTTGCATTCATAGCTTAGCTAACTGGCACAAGGGGCCTAGCTTTCAGCCTGTCTCAGCTTTTCACATGCCCTCCTTACTGAGCCTAATCATTTTTACTCTTTGATTTAAAGCGAGGGATATGCTCCTTTTTCACTTGAACACTTAAGAGACCATAATTTAGGGTTATTAATTGGCCTAATTTAAATATTGTTGTGTCTCAGAATAGGGAGGCCTGAGGAGAGGGAGACGGGGGAACAGCAGGTTGGTGGAGCAGTCAGAACACTTATTGGTTAAGTTTGCTGTCCTTAATGGGCATGGTTTATGGCACCCCAAAACAATTACAATAATAGCAAAGATCACTGATCATAGATCAACATAATGAATATAATAATAATGAAAAAGTTTGAAATGCTGTGAGAATTACCAAAATGTGACACAGATACAGTGTGAGAAGATGCGGTTGGAAAATGGCACCAATAGACGTGCTCCATGCAGGGCTGCCACAGATGTTTAATTCATAAAAAATACAATGTCTGTGAAGTGCAATAAAATGAGCTATGCCTATACTATATTTTAAATGAATGAATGGTCATAGCAGTGATCCATGTGGGTATATATGCTGTTTTTGAAAAGATGAGTATATAATTTCTGCAAGTTTGTTTTAAAACTTTGTCAAATGCATCTTTATGTTTGCAGATGGAATGGTTCAATCATTATAAAAAGTCTCTTGCTACTTATATGAGGTCATTGGGAGGAGATGAAGGTTTAGATATTACACAGGATATGAAACCTCCCAAAAGCCTATATATTGAAGTAAGTATAACTCTTAAAAAATGGAGTTTTATTTAATACATAGATTGTGCTGCCTTTTGTCTAAGGGGTATATGAATATATATTAGCTTATATTAAAAAGGAAAGGGAGCCCTGGCCCAGTTTGGTTCAGTGGTTAGAGCGTTCTCGAGGCAACCAGTTGATGTCTCTCTCTCCCCCTTCCACTCTCTCTGAAAAGCAATGGAAAAAATATCCTTGAGTGAGGAAAAAAATTAAAAAAAATAAAATAAAAAGGAAAGGGAAAAATAAATCAAAACCAAAAATGTTACTTATAGGTGGGTGATGGGACTAGGATAGAAAAGCTAAAATTTTCTGAATAGACCTGTTTTAATAGTTTTGACTTTGGAACCATGTAAACATTTTATATATTTTTAAGTCAAAGTGGAAAACCAACCCACAAATGTTGAAAGCAACATGAAACAAATGAACCTGTGTTTTAACTTGGTGGGTTATTCAAACTGTAATTATTTTAAATTACTTCAAAATACATAAATTGATTATATATTCCTAGTGGGTATGTTCTAAGGATGAAAAGAATTGAAACATACCTTAGCCAATTGTTTGTAGTCATATTCTTAGTAATAACGTGCTGCTACTTTGAAACAGTTTATATATTGAAGAATAGAGCATAAAAGTATGGCACTAGGAACCAGGTTTTCAAAGTAAGAGAAAAGAGATTCGAATATTGAAATGAAAAAGTGAAAATTCTATATTCCCAAATTCAGGTGTGAAATATCAGCATGGAATCAGGTTGAATCATCTCTTTCTAAAATTATTTGTTTATTTTTAATTGATTTTAGAGAGAGGAAGAGGGGAGAGAGAGAAACATTGATCGGTTGCCTCCCTGACCAAGGATCAAACCCACAACCTGGGTACGTGCCCAAGAATTGAACCCGCCACCTTTTGGTGTATGGGATGGCGCTCCAACTGAGCTACACCAGCCAGGGCCATCTCTTTTTTTTTTTTTTTTTTTTTTAAAGTTTTTTNATTGAACCCGCCACCTTTTGGTGTATGGGATGGCGCTCCAACTGAGCTACACCAGCCAGGGCCATCTCTTTTTTTTTTTTTTTTTTTTTTAAGTATTTTTTAGCTCTGTCCACTGAAAATGCCTAGAAACAACAAACAACCCAGTAGCCATGAGCATTCAAATTCTGGAGTCTAAATGCTGTTTCCCACTAAAGAAAACCAGGACTCCTTGGGGGGTAAAAAGGCTGTTTCTTGGTCTTAAATAAAACATGTACCAGCTGAGCATGGAGCATCTTGTCTTTCTAGAAAGCAAGGAAAGTATTGAGTACTATGTGAGTGCTCAAAAGTTTTGGAAACGGATTTGAAGGCGTTCCCAGTTGCCAAAGAAGGGGCACTTGAGCATCAAAGTGAATGGTAACTGCATCGAATTGAGTCACATCAGTTATGTTAGAAATATGGATACGAAATGACACCAAACAATTACGACAATTAAAAAATAAAACCTCTTTGGGTCCTCTTGGAGAATATGAGGGATGCAACTCATTTTGAAAAGCAATAAATGAAATAATGGAATCAAGCATCCATCTCCCTTTGCTGTACAAAATCTACCTCAGGGTAGCCAGATTTACAAGGAAAATTTCTTCATAGAAGAATTTCCACTAATAAATGCAGCAAGAATAAAATAACTAATAACACTTTGTAACCCTAATACATGGGGGCAAATAGCTACTAAAACCTTAGGTAAAAATTAACAGAGACCTTAATAAAGGATAGATATAGATGGGTGTGGATAACACCTGGACCCACTGATTAATCTTACCTGTAAACAAATTCAGAAGGCACTGGAAAGACAAGGAGAGACTTTATTCAGGTAATAGTTTGCAGACCAGGGAGAGGCAGCCTCTGGCAGAAACAAAGGGTTGCTCCACTGAGACAAAGGAGAGGTCATCGTTTTTTAAGATTTTTTTTTTTTTGAGAGAGAGAGGAAGGGAGAGGGAGAAACAGAAGCATCAGTGTGAGAGAGAAACATCAACAGGTTGCCTCCCATACACAACCCAACTGGAGATTGGGCGTGAAACCTGGGCATGTGCCCTGACCGAGAATCAAAGCTGAGACCTTTCAGTATACTGGACGATGCTCCAACCGACTAAGCCACAAACCAGCCAATGCAGAGAGGTCATCTTTTATGGGGAATTTTCCTGCCCATAGGGCCCATTTTGGTCCACTTCATGTAAATGAGGTTTCCAAATTGTACAGTTCTGCTTGGTCCAAATCATGCAATTCTGATTGGTTAGTATAGATGCAAATAAGGTTATAAGTAACAGAGTTCTAATTGGACAGAGCAGGTCTCTCAGCCCATTGCTCAAAAGATGAAACCAAGGCATCCCTGCAGTGGTTGACTCAGATTGCATAAACTAGTGTGGTACAGTGCATAAAGGGGAGAGTTCAGTCTGAGGTTCTTCCTCGCATACAGAGAATGTGAGAAGTCCCTGTTAGCAAATGGTCATTAGGCTCTTATTACAGGGGTGGGCAAAAGTAGGTTTACAGTTGTTAGTATGGAAAATACAATAAATTTATAAATAATAATACAAGAATAAACTCATGTACTCACAACTGTAAACCTACTTTTGCCCACCCCATATTTATAAAATTTGGGCCCTCCTTTGATCGTGAGGAGTCCATCTCAGCAGATAAATTCCTTTTCAAGGACATCAAATGAATCTTCTCAGGGTCCACACATCCAAAAAGGGACTCAGACATTTTGTGCTTCATGAGGTCTTATAAGAAGACATATATAACACTGTTTGCCAGAAAACCAGACACGGTATGATCCAGCCTCTAGGCTTAACTTCTAGTTTATAGGAAATCAGGGATAGAGGGGGGAACATGTTAAATGACCCCACAGGAAACCACACAAAAAATCTAGTTTATGGGAAACTACCAAACTGCTCAGTTTCTTTAACAAATTGTCGAGCAGACGGGGAAAAGAGGGAAGGAACCCTACAGGTTAAGAGAGAGGCATAGCCCGGCCAGGCGTGGCTCAGCGGTTGAGCGTCGACCTAGGATCCAGGCGATTGGGGTTCGATTCCTGGTCAGGGCACATGCCCGGGTTGTGGGCTCGATCAATAACTCTCTCATCACTGATGTTTCTATCTATCTCCCTTTCCTTTCCCCTCTCGGAAATCAATAAAGATATATTAAAAAAAAAAAATAAGAGAGAGGCATATCAGAAACGTGTAATGTACAGCTTTTGTGGACTCTGATTTGAACATGGCAACTTTAAAAAGACTTATGAGATAAATGGGGACATTTGGATACTAACTATTTCATGATTTTAAAATTCCTAAGATACAGTAATGGTATTGAGATTGTATTTTTTAAAAAGATACAAAATTTCATTTTGTAGAAATAGGTATTAAAATATAGATGAAATATCTAGGATTTGCTTCAAAATCTAGAAGTGGGTGAGGGCCAGATGTTGATAATTGTTGAAGCCAGTTGATAGGACATTGAGTTTCATAATACAGTATTTCTTTCTACTTTTGCATTTATTTTCAATTTTCATAATATGTTTAAAGGGGTAAAAATTTTTTTAAAACAAAAGTTTTGCAGACTCATCTATGGTCTATTCTCAGATAGCTATTTCATGGGAGGGATCTATAAGAGGCAGGTTGGAATTGATCCAAAATATTCTCTTTTCTTTGTAAATATATATTTCAACTGCTTGATAGTTCAGGATTTGCAGAGGGGAAAGAATGCAATGATGTCTCTCCCCTTGCAGCTCCGTGGGTTTCCTTGCTGTCAGCACAGCGTACACATACATTTGGAGATTCTGCCGTTCTTCTTCCTCTCCTTCAAAACAGGACAGTTGGAACCACTAGAATAGCACAGTAGGAGTAGTAGGCCTAAGTACACAGAGAAGAAACAAACCAACAGAAAGCCTAATATTTTTACTTTGTGGGTATTTATAAAATTCTTTCTTACTTTGTGATTACATATTAAAAAATAATTTAGATAAAACATCAGTTTTTCTTTTCAGGTACGATGTCTAAAGGACTATGGAGAATTTGAAGTTGATGACGGCACTTCGGTCCTATTAAAAAAAAATAGCCAGGTATTTCTTAAGATACTTTAAATCTTGTAAGAGTGTTACATACCATCAGTTTCAGTAGATGAAAACAGCAGATACACTACAAGTTTAGCTTTTAACAGTATAACTGTTGGAACTTGAAAAATATATAATCAGTTGCTGCTTTTTAATGATGTAAAATGTGATTTAAAACTCTTTTCCAATCATTTCTTTTTCTCTCCCCCACCTGTTCCACTCAGCACTTTCTACCTCGGTGGAAGTGTGAGCCGCTGATTAGACAAGGTGTCCTGGAGCACGTCCTGTGGTAACCTCATACTGTGGTACGAGGCTGTAGCCATCCACATAAACTTACACACTTCCTTCTCCACCCTCCCTTACCCCAGCCCCTCTGGTTTTAAAGGTTACAGATACTTTTAACCAGGAATACTTGACTGAGAATCGTTTGTTTTTCTATTGTACAAGATTCCTCCTCTTTTTTATAATCTGCATCTATAATTATAACATTCCTACAGTTACAATGTGTGTGTGTTCTTAATGAAAGTAAATATTTATTACACTTGAATTTTTAATAAGTTACAGTTGGCTGTCGCGGGAGAAAGTAGGTCTCTGTGCATCTTGTGTTGTTTCTGGTAATGTGCATTATGTAAGCCAGGGAGCTGAATTTCTGGAATATGTGTTTTCAGATGACATGGGCAGGTGGAGATGGTGGGCTATAAACGTTTTCAGTATATGTAATGTTTAATGACAGCTTCCTGGCTCTTTGGGAAGGAAAAAGTAAGGACACTGATTTTGCCCATTTCTAACAGTGGTGGATGGTCTGGCTCATTTCTGTCTGTGAGCTTGTAGGGTGAACACCAGTATCACCACTTTGAAAAAGGGAAATAGAAATTGGGGCTACAAAAGAAACTGTCCAGTTTTCCCCCAGATTCACACAGACAGAAAAGTTACATGAACAGTTGGTCAGCTAAGGGGAGGGCAGTTCCTGTCATCTGATGAACTATGAATGGTAGCAGTTGGGAGAGGGACAGAGTGGTCCTGCCTGGTGGTCAGTGGCCTTTCCCCACTAATCCCCTCCATTACCGGCCCAGTAATCTGAAAGAGGCATTCATATGTAAAAGACTAGATAGGCCTGGTATCTGGTACATACTATACATGCAGTTTTGTTTTTATATAAGGATAATGTTTCTGGCCAAAATTTAGTCAGAGAGGCTTTACCTAAGATGTGGATCTGTATGTTTTCATAACAGACCTACTTAGGTCAGTAGGCTGCCCTTTGCAGATTATGTTCATTATTGAAAATGATTTCTCTCCATAGTTTTGGTAGCCAGATCAAATTTTCAGGTAAGTTTCTGCTGATAAACAATAAGGAAAATTCTCCTAGCGAATGAGATCGGTGATGACATTTTAACTGTGGGTCTGCAGTCACTTTCCTTCATATTTACTCTCAGAGCACATGGAACCATGCACACAGGTAAACCCGAAAGTCCATGTGAGTCAGCTGTGAGGATATACAGCTATGAAGGCCATTACCATGTTGCCAGCTCTCCATCATTCCTGAACCTAAATTATACGATGTCCTTTTGTGTTTAATTCCCCAAATAAAATAATAAAATATATCCCTTATTTGAAATGAATGTATACTAGTTGAAAATTTTAAAGGTTTTATCAATTTATATCAACTATTCAGAACTGTGGCTAGAATTTTGAAGGTGATATATGTGTAGTTAAAAAAAGGTAAAAAATATGAAATGTAGAAAATGGAAGTTTCCCTTTCACCTACTAAAAACCATCATTCCATGGGCTCACTGTGAGCTGGTTACATGTCAAGTACAATCCCATTTCTTAATGGTTTCCCAATTTTCTAGTTTTTGTTCTAATGTGAATGGAATCTTTTTTTCTATTATCTAACTGGCTTTGGCTGATACATGTACAAAAGTTGCAAATTATGATTACTTGGCCACGTTCTAATGTTTATATAAACTCAGTTTTTACATTGATTTTGTTGTCTAGAACTTTTTGTCTAGAACTTTCAATAGGTTGCAGCTTATCTTTTTCATGACTTGGAAATCCAGTCTCATTTCTCAATCTTTTTTTTAATCCTCACCTGAGGATATTTTTTCCATTGCTTTTACAGAGTGTGAAAGGGG